GACCAAGTAAATCGATTGATGTTATACCTACTTTCGTTGATGATGATTCCTCTACTTTGGTATCTCAACGTGGTGAGCATAATCGCTCTCGCAAGTCGAGCAAAGGGCATCACAAGTGTGAACATTGTCACAAGCTCAATCATAAGATTGACAGGTGTTATGCCTTACATGGTAGTCATCCTCGATCTGTTGCAGTGGTCCAAACTAATCCTCTCTCACAACCATCTAATGTGGATCCTACTTCATCTGATACCATAGGACAATTTGCTATACTCACTGAATTTCTCAAATGGTATGAGGATCATCAAAAACCTAGTACCACTATCGTTGTTGCACACTCAGGTACATCTTTTTTTGGCCTAAATCACTCTAGTTCCCATGGACCTTGGGTTCTTGAATCAGGTGGCATCGATTATATTATAGGTAATAAATCTTTGTTTTCTTCTCTATCCTTAATAGGTGTTATTTACCTTTTGTTACCGTGGTTGATGGATCTAAGGTCTTATCCCATGGTGTTAGTGGTTAACCTTTTTCCTTCTTTGTCCATTGATGCTCTTTATGTTCCTGAGTTTCCATTTAACTTTATTATCCATCATTCATCTCACAGACTCCCTTGATTGTGTTATTTCTTTTACCAATGATCCTTTTTCTTTATAAGAACAAATTTCAAGACAGATGATTGGCACCCGATGTGAGTCTCAAGGTCTTTATCATCTACGACCTTCTATACATGTTGGCATGATTATGGATTCTCCATCTCACTCTGTTGGGTCATCCTAGTCTTGGAAAAATGCAGTAGCTTGTTCCTAATTTGTCCAATTTATCTAATTTTCCGTGAGTTGTGCTAGTGAGGTAGATCATTCAGTCTTTTATTGTAACTCAAGAGTTGGGTGCATTTATATAATGGTATATGTTGATGATATTGTTCTTACATGCAATGATCACCATGACATTTCTCGGATGAAACAACACATTTGTCACCATTTTCAGACCAAAAATCTTGGCGAACTTATATATTTATTGGTGATTGAGGTATCACAATCTAACAATGCTATTGTTATATCTCAAAGGAAGTATCCATTGGATATTTTGGAGGAAACTGTGTTGATGAACTCAAAATTTGTTGACAGACCCATAAATCCCAATACCAAACTCCTAGCAAATCAAAGGGGTCTTTTCTTAGATCTTGAGAAGTACAAAAGATTAGTTTGAAAATTGAACTATCTTACTGTTACTTGTCCTTACATTTCCTTTGCAATCATTGTGATTGAGTCAATTTCTTAATTCCCCATTTACAGATCATTAGAATGTTAGAATGTAGTCATTCGTATATTAAAGTATAATAAAGAATCTCATGGAAAAGGTTTGCTATATGGTCACAGTAACCATATTAAAGATGTCTATTATTCATATGTTGATTGGGTAGGATCTTCTAATGGAATATCTACTCTCGATACTATGTTTCCATTGGAGGTAACTTGAATTCTTGGAAAAGCAAGAAACAAAGTGTTGTGGCAAGATCTAGAGAAAAAGATTAATATAAAGCTATGGCCTCAACTACTTTTCAACTTGTTTAGCTTAAACAATTAATTAAAGAATTGCAACTTAGAGATGTTACTCAAATGACACTTATATGTGAATATCAAGTTGCTCTTCACATTAACTCTAATTATGTCTTTCATCAAAGGACCCAATACATTGAGATTGATTGTCATTTTATTCGAGAAAAGATTGTATATGGAGATCCAGACTGATTTTGTAAACTCAAGTGATCAATTAACATATATTTTCATTAAGTCTTTACATAAACCTAGAATTGATTATATTTGTAACAAGCTTGGTACATATGATTTATATGCACCAGCTAGAGGAGAAGTGTTAGATATTATTAAGATATTAATAGTTACAATATCTTATGTTAGTTACAATATTATGTGTATATGGGTTTAGCCCATATTTTCCTTTATTATTATTATAAATATATTAAACCATGTGTCTTTTATACACAAATGAATTAATGGTATACCTAAATTTCACTATTTTCAACATTAGGACAAAAATATTTTCAACAACTCCATAGTGATTAGGAAATATATCTTTAGAATCTTCCTATTCATTTTAAAATACTATTTCCTCGTTTTGAAGAATTTAATTATTACAATAAGAGATTATTAGAATGTAATTTGTGCAGTTGTTATCAATGAAAGAATTCTTTATTTCCTTACAAAGTTCAAGTAATACTACAAACTCCCAAATTCAGCTTCCAATGTCATTACACACCTATCAATTTCATTCATGTTGATACTACAAATCAAACCCTCACTTTTGATGGTGAAAATCATGTTAGTACCAATATTGCATCTAAATAAACCCTATCATTACAAATCCCAATTCATAATCCAATTTCATAGGTTCTAACAGGCGTGGTGCTCCCAAAGGCAATTTTGGTCTTGCATGTGGTCGTGGTGGCAAAAGCCCAACACATGATAAGTCTATTTTCACTATGGACATATTCAATCGTCATAATGAGGCTGTTTTCATTGACCAACGGTGCTTCAAACTAGTCATGGCACTGGTATCAACCAGCTTCAAATCAGTGCAATTTTCACTGTGGTCATAGCGCACTAAGTTGCTATATCATTTAATCCTAAGTTTGAGGCTGTCTCCATTGATCAATGGTGCTTCGAACGAGTCTTGGCAGTGGTGTCATCCAGCTTCAAATCAGTGCAACTCTCCATAACCACCTTATGCTATTTTAATTTTCCTGGTCCCTATACAGTCGTGATCCTCACAGCAATTCAATCCCCCCAGCATTCTTAAGTCAATTTGCTAACATTGCTCCTGCCACAGCTTCTACATGGTTTCCTGATTCTTATCATGTAACAAATAATTCACCAAATATACAGAAACCCTCACTACTGGAAGGACCTGATCTTCATCGGTAATGGGCCAGGTTTGACCATTTCTAGCTGTAGTACATCTAGGTTTCAGTAAGCCTATAATCCTAATATCCAACTTGTTCTTCATAATTTGTTATGTGCTGCCCGGAGAACAAAAAATCTCATTAGCATAAGCAACTGGTGGTGCAGCACACTCCTGATCAAGATCAGTGGGCTGACCTGTTTACTAAGCCTTTGTCACTAGATTTTCTTTTCTTAAGCACAAACTCAGTTACCTTGAGTTTGCAGGGAGACGTGAGTATATACTCCATTGTACAAAATAAAACTGCCGTTGTTAGTATAGTAGTTAGTTATCAGTTTGATGTAACTAATTTAGTAAGTAGTTGTCTGGTACAACTGTCATGGTCAGTAAGTTACAACTGTTTTACCATTGGCTGTTAACATAGAGGTGTTAACATAGAATGCAGTCAACAACATACATTTCATTCATTTTTCTTCCATAGCAAGAAATGAGAGTCAATGGCATTCTGTTCAAAGAAAAAGAGAATGCTTTTCAAAGAGTCACCAAAGAATAAAAGGTAAGATGAAACTGAACCCTGAGGCTACAAAAGGGGAGTTATCCACAGTGGATGAAGCACCACCATAGGGTCACATGTGGCTTACTTGCACGATTGACAAAAACCATGTTTGGCAACGACTGCAAGTTGCAAACTGCACTGCTTATGAATGCATTGATCTAGTATTAGCACTTGTCACTGCAACAGTGGCTGGCAACAACAACAAAAACAAAGGCCACATAATTGAGGGCTCTGATACCAACTTGCTTAGAGAAGAACTTTGAAAAGAGGATTATTCTATTTAATCAATTGTACATAAATTGTAAGTTAAAACCTTGAACCATCATCCCCTTCCAAATCAAGGAATGATCTGGGTTTTCAAAGCATCCCATGGGAACACATGCTTTAAAATTAGATAGAATATGATACTTTAGTGGATTATACTTGGCATAAATGAATTCCCAGAAAAGAAACCCACACCTGGAGGGATAAATGTTTGATATATGATGCAGGAGAAATATATACCAATTACAACATTGAATTCAAAACTACAGCACAATATAGACAAGTTAGATACTGTAACCTGAACAGTTTTAACATTTTGAACAATATACCTTACAATTCAGTGTACTCATTCTAATAAAAAGGGAAAATTCCCAGAAAAATAGAAAGGGACAAGATATCACCCAAACCAGGCTCCTACAGTTCTACACCGTTACAATATAAGCAAAGTATAAAAGATTGAAGAGAATAATCATACTGTGGTCTTATACAATTAACTTGGAAAATTTGTAAAGAGCAAAAATGAGACTTACTAGTCTGACTACTGCTTTCTTGCCAGAGTCATCATTACTTTCACATACACGCCTTAGAGCTTCTGGAAGAACTTTCCAGAATTCATTGACAAACTCACTACCCTTCCGTCTACTATTTTGCAATATGTCATTAGCCAAGTGTAGATAAGCGATACGCTGATCTTTGTGTGAAGCATTGAATAATTTAACCCAAGTTTCAACTATTTCTTTTGCTCTCTTCTGGTGAGAAATACACCATCGAGACAAGGCTGAATTATTGCTTAAGAAATACAGATAGCAATACAAATCTCACTAATAGATAACCAGAAAGAGGAAGGAGGAATAATGTGAAGGAAAATAGATTGAACAACTGAAGTAAAATGAGAAAAATGCTACTATCATTTACCAACAGGAAAAATGCTACTAGCTTATTCATAACTCTGTTACTGACAGGCACAAATACATCTCAAACAAACTTTTAAACAAGTTATCTTTAGCTTCCCTATACCANTGTAACCTGAACAGTTTTAACATTCTGAACAATATACCTTACAATTCAGTGTACTCATTCTAATAAAAAGGGAAAATTCCCAGAAAAATAGAAAGGGACAAGATATCACCCAAACCAGGCTCCTACAGTTCTACACCGTTACAATATAAGCAAAGTATAAAAGATTGAAGAGAATAATCATACTGTGGTCTTATACAATTAACTTGGAAAATTTGTAAAGAGCAAAAATGAGACTTACTAGTCTGACTACTGCTTTCTTGCCAGAGTCATCATTACTTTCACATACACGCCTTAGAGCTTCTGGAAGAACTTTCCAGAATTCATTGACAAACTCACTACCCTTCCGTCTACTATTTTGCAATATGTCATTAGCCAAGTGTAGATAAGCGATACGCTGATCTTTGTGTGAAGCATTGAATAATTTAACCCAAGTTTCAACTATTTCTTTTGCTCTCTTCTGGTGAGAAATACACCATCGAGACAAGGCTGAATTATTGCTTAAGAAATACAGATAGCAATACAAATCTCACTAATAGATAACCAGAAAGAGGAAGGAGGAATAATGTGAAGGAAAATAGATTGAACAACTGAAGTAAAATGAGAAAAATGCTACTATCATTTACCAACAGGAAAAATGCTACTAGCTTATTCATAACTCTGTTACTGACAGGCACAAATACATCTCAAACAAACTTTTAAACAAGTTATCTTTAGCTTCCCTATACCATATGTTCGCTGTCTCTTGGGATGGATGTGGGAGGGGCCTCTCTTAAGGATTTGTAAAGGGACAAATAATCTTTTGTTAGTTCCTTTGTTTTGCGGCTTTATTTCGTTTTACAGTATTCATTGTCCCCTTGATGATTCATACACACTTCTTTCTCTGATTAAAAACTCGTTATAATCATCAAAATGATAGCTAAAATTTAAGAGATTGTACGACAGAAATGAATATGTTATTGTGAGTTATTGAAATAACTAAATAATGCAACGGTGAAAAAACACACTGGAAAGGGGCCGAAACTTCTACACAAGAAAAAATAATGAACTACAGGGCAAAAAAACTACAGCCCAATTTCATAACAGTATTATCAAGTCCATCACAAGAACCATAAACAAAACTTCAGCCGAGTAATTAATAGAGGCCAAAAAGATACTTACGTCCCACCATAATGAATAAAAGGAAGAGCAAAGAGACATTTTCAAAAATAAATTACTCCCATCTAAAATTCACCATATAACTGCATAAATAGCAAATACTAAAAAATCTTCATAAACATGTTACCATGAAAAGATCCAACACGAGAGGACACCCACAAATTTTCACCCCTCCACCCAATAATTCAATAAATATTCAATAAAAAATTAGCATACTATACAGAATATCTATAGTGTTATGAAGAACATTCTTTACACGTTCAGGCTGGGGATGATTTCGGCAACATGAAAAGATATGACTATAACATTCAGAATTCTTTCATCTAGTCCCCTTCACACTCTTCAATTAAGTTTCAGTTGACCAAATACCATTATTGTCTGTACCGACAATGCTTTTCTTAGTTACATTGCTTCTTCAGTCTTTACTTCTTTGCTGCAGGTGATTTCCTTATAAAGTTTCTTGTTTTTTACTACCTCCAATCATATATAACAAGTAATTAATTCATCAAGTTCAATTAAAATAGTCAATTTTAACTAATCATGTGATAAATTTAAATTTTATTTAATAACCCATAGAACTAAGTGAACTAAGGGTAGTTATATTTAATGACACTACTATAATCCAATGAATATATTTTTCTGCCAATGAATGCATGCCCTTGCACGTATTGGGAGTATTGGGCGTTTCATTCATAGACTTCACAATACATGAAGGGTATAAAAAGATATTAGAAACTAATATATTTGAAAAATGGGTAATTTTTTCCGTATAATGAGAAACAAAAAATGCACGAATTTGTTGCTTATACAAAGGGTCAAATATAGTACTTGGTAAGGGTTAAAAACATGTCAGAGGTGTAAAAGACTGATATTCACCTGTTTTTATTTCAAATGAAACAAACAGTACCATCATATAAAGAAAATATTTACCAAAAATTATCACAGATTTCCTGTAAAAGCGTCAATAAAGAAAGCTTCAATAGCAGCAACAATTTTCCCTCACTATGAACACAAGCAGGATGCTTAACAGACGAATAATATAAGATGCAACATTCCCTCCTATGGTCTGATAAGAGTCAGGGTATTTAAGACCCAAAATACCAGCTTCCCAACAATAAACACAACTAAAAAAGAAATATTTCTCATGGTACTTAAGTAAAAAAGTAAATGAAAAAAATATAATCGGATAAATTTCTCCGTAACAATTCAAAGAAATTAAAATAAAAAGAAAAGAGTTAAATAAAATTCTCCATAAGCTAAAATTAGTTTATGCATAAGTTAATTTGTAGAACTCTTCCATACAGTTTCTCTATAAAAAATTGTGTATTAGCTAATTTAAGAAAGAAAAAAAACATTCTCTTAGGGTGCATGTGGAGAAATTTGTCGAAGCAGGACCAAAGTGTAATGGGCATTTTATCATAAAATACAAAAAAAAAATCTATAAGTACTACAAGTCAAAGTTATATCATAGTAACATCACATCCATTGTCTGCCCAAATTTAGACATATCCTAATTCAAAAACAAATGTTACTCTATGTAGGCAACATTTCAACTCGAGCAGCAAATAAAAGAAAAACTGATTTTACATCAAGATGATATAGGTCACATTTCTTTACATCTATTTTTCTAAATCCAAAAATGCCAAATTGAGGTGTTGTTGCAATTGTACTTCATGGAATGAATAAATCATGACATTCAAAGTTATAGCATGAATAATGTGTTGGCAACCTGATAATGCATATACAACCAAACAGAAAATTGTCATTAAAAACAAAAACAATTAAAAAATAGGGATCAATGAAGGATACGTTGAATGCTTTGTGGTGTATTGCTGACTTTCGACAACTTCTCAGCAAGCAACTGTCCATCAAATATGTCGTCACTCATACTGTCTTTTGAAAAGTTTCACATATCTTGGAGATTTACCTATAATTTACATGAGTGGGATATCAATAACAGACAGAACATTATGTATATATTGAAAAGAAAAAAACAAAAAAAAAATTTAAATTTAATTTATTTTTTTTTTTTTTTATTTTGATTTGGAAATAATGACCTAACATGCTTTCCTAGTCGAAATTATTCACATTCTAACACTTGAAGTTGCTTAAGATTAGGAGCTATTATCTCCAAATTTGCTATACTTGGCAGACAGACAATCATGCAAAAAGCTTCAAACTTAAGGTATAAAAACCGGACAAAGGAGGGCTGTTTTTCAAATAATAAAATCCTTGTGATTCATGTCCTTTGCCAACTAGACTACCATATTCTTATATGACAAAGGAATTAACACCAAAGATTATAGAACAATTTAAAGAGAATGTTAATTGGCTTAGAGAGCCTAAATTATAAAGACAGTGAGGATTGTAAAAGGCAGAAAGATTTAAAGGGTATAAGAGAACTAGACCAATTCCTTTAGATACAACTTTAGATCCATTGACTAGAGTAACAAGGTGAAGAATTTCTAAAGAAAATATAAATGAAATGAAGAGCTATTACTATAAATGTAATCTAAGGACCCTGTGTCAAGTATCCATGGATCTTGACCTTCCACAAATTGAGAAATACAAGTTGTAGAAAGACTTAGCACCAAAGAAGGTTAACCTTGATGCTTGAATTTTTCAAATTTTAAATCTTGTACACTTATTACTCCTCATCAATGAACTTGAACTCTCCTTTATTAGACTTAGACACGTGGTCTGTCTTGTCTGCAAAACCATGCAAGGAGTAGCAACTTTCTTGGGTATGACCCACTCTCTTGCAATATGTGCATTAAGGATATCCACCTAACCACCACATCCTCCTCAATAGCTATGACCTCTTCCTCTTCCTTGTGTGCTACCATTTTGCTGCTCCATAACTTCAATTGAATTTTCACCTTTTAACAAGGTAGGCTCCCAAAGAAGGTTGGTGACGAAGTAGTTCATTAAAGGAATTGATCATCAGCTAAAATTTGATCACATGATAAAAACATGAGTGTAGACTTCTCAAAATTAAGACCATGTAAAACTTAAAAAGTTTTTCTATGATATCCTCTAATGAATCAGTCACAAAAAAATATCTTTAATTCTTCTACTGCAGGCAAGGACTTTGCTATATGTGACCAGATACACATTTTCATATCAGCATGGTTAGTCAATTCTTTACTCATGAAAACTGCATCCTGGTACAACTGTTTGCATCCTTTGATACATTAAAGGGTCACCGGAAAAAAGACTTGGTTACACTGATAAAAGACACTAACATCATTAGGTACTCAAACACAAATTTGGCAACTGATACGAGTAATAGGGGGTCCACTGTAGGTTATTGTGTTTACTTTGGTGCGAACCTTGTACCACCAAAGAGTAATAGGAAAAATATTGTCAAATTCAGTAAAAAAGTTGACTATTGTTCCATGGCTCATCCCACGTGTGAACTCTTCCACTAGTAGCATTTACTTCAACAGTTTCAATTTGGTACAATTGGACCCATGAGTTTAATGTGTAAGAGAATATCACTTCTTGTATAGCCTAAATATTATAGACTAATTATTTTTCAATTTCTTTTGGTTCTCCCTTGTAACTTTTTTAACATAAGACAAGTCGGGAATGTAAAGAAAAGAACAACCAATAACTACAAAAAGTGATGTGAACCATCATGAATGAACATAAACAGTGAGCAACTGTAATTAGCAGTGTCATGAACAGTGCGACCAGCCACGAGCAGCAGCAGCAGCAAACAACAGCAGACTGGACAAGAAACTTCACCACAAGAGCAGACAGAAAGAGAAAGATCAAACCCACTCTAATACAAAGTTGAACAATAATACGTAGTGAATTGCTACAGTAAAAATAGCCCAGCAACCTTATATTTATATGGATTCAAGAGTTTTACATTTAATAGTAGTAAAGGGCACTAAATACATATTTCTAATAGCCACATGAATCTGGACAATCATGTGACTTATTAGACCCATTTCCAACATATGTGAAGTTGTACCAGACTTTCCCTTAGTAAGTTGGTAGCATGTACTGAATTGCTTCCAAAGAATAACCCAGGAACATTTATCACTCAAATCAATCTTTTCAATAAACAGATGAATCTTCACTTTCTCCCACTTCAACAACAGTAACAACAATTAAGCATTTTTCCTACTGGGTGAAATTGGAAATATCAATCAAATAACACTATAATGTTCTACTGTCAATCATGTCGATAGACAAAACCAATTAGATCTAAAATTTACTCATTATCTCCTATAGCCTCTAAGCAACCTGGCCAAAGAGCCACAACATAAAGAAGATTTCAGGATGAGCACACATCACCAAGATTAATACATCAACCTTCTGTGAAAAAATATATCAATTCATTAATTAAAAAACATTCCAATCATTCGTGCTTCAAAATCATTTGTTGTTTGGTCCAGGATCATGGCACTTAACACAGCTCAAGGTCAAGTAATTACCACCAGGAACTTCAAAATAAGTAAGAAGGAATTACAAAACATGGCACACAGCTAAAAATACGAGGAAAAGAATATTAGGAAGGTCTACATGAAATTAATGAAGAGGGAAAAGGATATTCAAAATTTTAGTACAACACAGTTGACTCTTCCAGAAATAAGATTGTCACCAACACACTGCAAAAGCAAGATGCCACAACCTCTTCGAATCTCACTCCCACGCTCTAGTAAAGACCTATTTACTACAACTACAAACCAGCCAACATAGCACATCCGCACCATCTAAAGCGGTAAAATAGTCAATAAATTGTAATAATTTCTAAATCGAATAAAATAATTGAGAACAGCAAGTGATAGAAACACCACTTGTATCGCATTAAGAATCAGAAGACAGTGCAACATCCTTAAAGGGTATGTGAATGCATCGCTTATAACATAACATAAGACCGACCAAATAGGACCCATATTTCTCCATATGGAAGCTATAAGACTCATTCGGTCTCGGCTCTATCATAATGTCGATAGCCAAGAAAATGGGGGAAAGAAAACGGTTTGGTCAAAATCAAGACATATGAAACTTGATTGAAGAAAAGCGCCAGTACACACGGAGAAACTTTGTCGATTCAATTTGTTTCAAGAACTCGAAACCTAGCATGCGATAAATAAATTAAGAGAAGCTGCTCACGATGAACAGTGAGAAGCGGAGTTCTTCAAGGCCTCGATAGATCCGAAATACTTACAGATGAAAGAAATCTAGAAGGTGAAGCACCGCCGTGCACGACCGCCGCCTCCGCCGCCTAGATGAAAGAGGTTTGGATGTTGGGGTTTTATTTTTCCTTTGGATAGTTTTTATTTATTTTTAACCCAAACTTATTGCTGTTGCAGTGTCGGATACTGGAATTGATAGCAAATTGGATACAAGGTTCGGTTTCCTGTGTTTTTTAAAATCTTATCATCTCTTTTTTTTTTAACTTAAATAATTTTATAGATAAATATCTAAACAATACTGAGACCTGCTATACTTATTTAAATATGTACTTTACTACCAAATTAAAAAATTATATAACTTAAGGATAATTTAGGGAGTAAAAATAGATTGTTGGTAGCAAGGAACTACAATAATATTATATTAATAAGCTGATTTTTTCATATAAATTTATTGCAGTACAATTTTACCCCATTCCACATTATTTAAATTAGGATTTAGTTTTATTTTTTAATAATTAGATATTGTAATTGGATATGAAAATTAAATGTTGTTGGATTTAACTTTGATAAATTTAATATAAAATTTAAATTCAACCAAATTGTTATTTTATAATTCGATTTGAATTAGTTCTTATAGTTTTTATTACTGCAATATTTTAAATTATATTATTACTATATTTATTAGTGAAATACGTTCGTTTTAGGATAATAAAAAGTAATAAAATTATTATTATTATTATAAAATTAGATATAAATAATTTTTATAATTTATTGGTATTTTATGATAAACAATAGTTAAATTTAAAAAAAAACAATCAAATTAACAAAATGATTGAATTTGAATAAATAATTTAAATTTAAAGAAATAATTATTTAAAAAATTAAATTGATAAAATAGTTATTTTTATTTTAAAAATATTTAAAAGATAAAATTAGAAAACAATGTGAAAAAGAAAATCTCTTATAATAATTCCAACTTACTTTTATATCCATAAACAAGTTATATACTTTCATGACTAAATTTTACTACACAATTCGTACTTTATTTTAATAAAAATGACTAAATTTTACTGCATGACTTGTTCTTTATTTTAATAAAAATTAAACAAATTGAAGTATAAAACTATCATCAAATCTTTGAAAGATATACAAATTAACATTATATTTAAGTATAATAATTAGTAAAATTGGTTTTTTTTTATAAATTTGATCAGTAGATAATTGGTAATTATATATCTTTTAGGTAAGAAACCTTAAATATATAGACTAGTGCATGTTTATTTTTTATAATAATAAAATTATTATAATTACAATTATAAAAAAAATATAATTAATTTTAGAATTTATTATAAATAATTATTTTAATTTAAAAATAATAAATTAAAAAACAGTTAAATAAAAGGCTTAATACCAATTTTTGTCAGCTTTATTCGAAATGGTTCTAATTTTTTTTGTTCAATGTTGTTCTAAAGAATGTAATTTATGTTTTAGTCCTTTTTGCAGACGACGTTTAAATCGTTAACGGTACATTGTCCAGTTGTGCAATAAGTGAATGTCATGTCATTTAACTGTTGACCTGTCTTGCCACGTGGCAGCCCCTTCCCCACCCAAAAAATTAGGATTTTTGAATGCAAGGAGCAAAGACTTCCTTACGCCTACGCCGCCAGAGGAAAAGTGAAGCTTGCGATGATCCAATTGACCATAGTGGGTCTGTCAGAATTTCGCAGAAACAAGAGCGAACTCCTTTCTCGCGATACGGTGAGGGTTAAAGCGGCATCGCCTCCACGAAGGTTCAATCTTCGATGTAGTCGCGATGCGAGAAGCCCACCGTTCTCAGGCAGTTTCGAGGCAATAGGACTCGCGATTGAGGGTTTCGATTTGGGCGTTTTTGTTGTGTTATCTGGTTTTTGTAAATTGGAATATATGATTTTCGTTTCAAAATTGATTTGGGAGCCAAACCAAACAACCCAAGGGGAAGACTGTCAGACTCGTCAAGGTAGTTTGGGATGCTAGAAACAGGCGACTCTACCTGGAAGCTAGAGGACAAGATGAAGGAATCCTATCCCACCTATTCTCTGGTAAGTCTAATTTTCGGGGACGAAAAAATTTCAAATTGTTGGGGAGAATGTAAGGGCTTGTAAATGAATATGGGGCCTGGGCCTTATGTGGGGCAGCCAAGCCCATCAGCCTAAGGCCAGCTTAACCTTAGGAAGGGCTCCTAGAGTTCTTTTTCACTTTTCCTGAGCTCTTCCCTTTCTCTCTCTAAACTGAAAACCTTTTTGCTAAATAATTGCTTTGGCCTTCTCTCTAAAAGATCCAAAACACTGAACGTTTAAATTTTAATTTGAAGGTACCTAAACGATCGCGGTGGCAGAGCTTCATTTTGAACCAAACAATTTTCCTGTTCCGACCGGTAAGTTCCATTTCCCTTCTCTTTCAACTATTCTAGAACCTAGGGCATGCAACTTTGTTGGGTTCACGTGCCTTGTAACGTTTTTTCCTATTCGAGCTCTAAGAGCTATGTTCTATCACCAATTTGGTGATCTGTAGGTTCTGTCAAGTTCCGCTCTGTGTGGAGGGTACTGTTAGGGCATCTACTGTGAGTTGTATTGAGCAACCCAAAAGAAGAGGTAAGGGGAGCTTAATTATTTTTCTTTGAATTATTTCTTGAATCTGCTTTGTAATGAATGCATGTTGATTTTGACTGTTGTACGGTTTTGTATGGTACTTTGGATTTGAAGTATAGGATGGTTTGAATTGAATGGTGTAATGATGGAACGTGATTGATTGTTTATTAGTGAGTTGATGAACTTAACTACTGTATTGGATCATGTAGAATGGATTTGGAGTGTGAAATCTGTTTAACTTAGTTAGGTAGAAAACTTGGTGATTCGATAGTGTTTTAGGTCCTTTGGAGGAAGTGAGGGAGTGAATTTAAGAGTTAGGGTTCTGGGTATAATTGGGCTATTGGGCAGTTTAGCAAGTGGATTGTGACTTGTTGAGTCACCAAATTGGTCAGAATAGGTACAAAGTGTTAGAATTGGGTTTGGGGTCCTCTAGTTATTGAGTTAGATGTTTTGGAGTAGAAATTGAGTTGGTTTAGTACATCTAATTCCTATCGAAATGACCATGCAATACTTTACTTCATCTATAAACATGTTTCATATCAATATTAGTGTTACAGATTTTAATTTGTTCATTTGGATATGTCTAAGATGCCACCAAAACTAGAAAAATTCACGTTGTTGTCAAAAAACTGATAAGAATATCGATTATCTCACTTAATAATCGATTATTTTAGTCAGAGAGTTGTATCCTCTTCAAAGCTCTCGCAAATAATCGATTATCACATATGATAATCGATTATTGTCGTCGGAAAAATTCATCCAAGACAGTTTTGGGGGGTTTTCGGGGTTTCGGATATCATTTTTGGACGTTCTTTTAGGTCGTTTTAGGGGTTTGGGCCTTTTCGGAACTGTTTGGTGAGATAGTTTCAAGTTATTTTCCTGGTCTAAGTATGAGTTTAAGGGGGTTTTTGTGTTGTTTAGTGGGTCTTTCTTGGACTGTTATTGTCTGTTAATGTACATGGAATGGTTTCATGTGATTTTGATGACTTATTAAGTTGTTTGTGGTCTTTTGAAGTATAATTAGTATATATATCTATGTTTGTATGCAATGTAAAAGTGAAAGTATGTGATTTTCAAGGTATGTTGATGGACGTAATTCCATGGACCTCACAGGGGGTTAAATGGTGGCCTCATGTTGTGATCCACAGTGAATTCTCATTGTTGAGATTCAAGTATGTGTAGAATGATTGCATAGCCAGCTCAATCTTGGGGGTTTTCTGAAACTAATATGATCAATCATTCTCAAGTAGAGAGAATTGAATCATGTGGTGAGTAGTAGCAGGAGGTCCTAGTCTTGGAGGCTTCCAGTATGCTCCAGGGCGCGGGAAACGGACTAATCTCGTGAGTATGGTAGGGTGGAGTTGCAAAGCAGTAGAGGCAGTAGAGGCCACCACGAGTGCAATAACCCGCCATAGCTCGGCAATCATTCTAGTCCGGACGAGTCAGTTTTAAAGTAACACAAGTCTTGTGATGTCATTTTACCATGTTTGAGTGACTTTTGCATGTCGTGTGAGGTTGAATAACATGCTTTTTATATCTAGCTCACCCTTGCTTGTTTGTGTTGCTTGTGTATGTTCTTTTTCGATGATCATCCACTTGGGTGACAGCAGATGACGAGGAGGTTCTTTTGGAGACGGCCTTTGGAAGTTGAGGACAATGCTGCTGCCTAGTCTCCTTAGGATGTTATCGATTATTGTCTATATTTTGAAATACTATTTCCCTTTAAGTTTACAGTTTAGATCTCTTTGGAGTTGAAGTTTAATTTTGAAGTTACTTTGAGATGACTGTAATCCTTAATTACTCTTGACTTTTGCTTTCCTATATTATGCATGATGACGTCTTTATTATATGTATGCTTTTTCTATATATTTGGGACGTCCACATTTTTCTTTTTAAAGAGTATTTTTCATGAATTATTTTAAAAAGCCTTGTTAAAAAAAATTAGAAGCTAAGTGTTATTTTATCCATAATCCATTTTGAAACTTGTAAGGATTTGGTCTCATGAAGTTCGAATTTCCGGAATTCTAATATTTTTTTAAAAGAAAAAAAATTAAAGATATATATAATTAATATGTAAAAGAAAGTTAATAAACTAAGAAATTAAAAAATTAATATTTAGTATAATAAAAATGATTTATTTTATACTAAATTAAATTTATTATTATAAATTAAATAATAGTATGTTTATTATTAATAATTAATAATATAAATATATTACTTATTAATAGGTAAGCTTTTATAAATTTATATTAAGTTAAATAATAGTTATGTTTATTAAATAATTAAACAACATAAATATATTATTTTTAATAGGTAATGCATTTATAAATTTGTTATTATGGTTAATTTAATAAATTAATTTTTACAGTTATATTATCGTGTATTTTTTTAAAAAATTCAACGTATAAAATCTAATAAATTCAATATATTGATAAATATATTATTATAAAACTAATTAGCAAAAAGAATCGTGAAAGATAGTCCTCCCTAATAACAACTTGGATTTAATATACTATTATTTCAAGTTTACATTATATATATTTGTTAGAGATATACAATAGAATAATCCCTACTTAATATGTGATTTTGCTCTTGGTATGAA